CCTATATCTATCTATACCTATATCTATCTATACCTATATCTATCTATACCTATCTTCCATCATCACTTACACTCTTACATTTATACCTCATATCCGGTCTCAGGACATTCCACCTATTCGCATGCTTTCTCTTCTTACGTCTTATCACCGGACTCTGCACTTTCTATCCCATCATTCCGCGCGGGGTCCGGACTAATCACCCTCAACCCTTGCCCTTCATTCATATCTGGAGCCATTAGCTGGTCACCGTTATGAGCTAAGGAGACCAGAGGATCCGATCGCCAGAGAGCCAAAGAAAGGGCACTCTGATTTTGGCGCTGGAGTCACACGGCCCGGCTCTCGACCTCCGTAAGATAGCAGCTAGTTTTTGTCACCTCACCGTTCGTTCGCTTTTCAATACATAAGTTCGTTTCCGTATTTTTGCCTTGCCTTCATTTTTCCTATATCCGGTACTACCCGCAGAACATTACAAAAGCATGGAATCCAGGAAGCCTAAGCCCTAGGATTTAAAATTTCGCATACCTACCCTCCCCGCAAAAAAAATAAATTCCCCTGCTTTTCTGGAATTTTATTTCTGTGGATCCAGAAATGCTAAAAAAAATTTTAGAGGAAATTTTAGAAGCTCAAGAAGAATCATAAACTTCCATTTTGTTGAGAGTGAAATTTCAATGTTTTTTTCAGGGCTGTGTTGCTGCGTATCTACCCGCAACAATTACTTATCTGAGAATTTTATGGGAAACTTCAAAACTTGACTCATAATATGTTTTTTCAGCATCTGTAAAAACTCCCCTGTTTCTAGGCGTTCTTGCGTTTCTTAGCATACCTCCTGAGTCCACTGCAGAGGCTTTAAAAAATTCAATGAATATAATTTTGTACAGTTTCATGAAATTTTGCATCTCTGTGTAGACCCCTCTGAAGGTAATTTGTGGTCTCTAAAATCGATGCTGGCTGAACTCTTAAAGCTTAGCACTATGATAGACTTTGGAAACCGTCTTACGCGATTACAAAGTTAGTTAGTTATGTTAGCTTTTTGAAAGGAAAAATTTATAATATATAATGAGTAGAGAAACTATGCCAAGAGGGGCAGCATTTACTGATAGGAAAAACATAGGGTGGACATGAAAAGTCTCAGAAAACTCTCTAAAAATTGCTAATACCTAATCGGAAAAATCAGGTAAAAAAGTTTAAGTTCCCATACCTTGAAACAAATCCACAATTGGAGGACTTAAGAGTCTTAAAGAGACCTTTCTTTGTTCAGACACGAAAAGAAAGAATCTTGTACTAAATGTAAGTAACTCTTTCCTGTTACGCTGAAGCGCATCCTTTAAATATAAATGATTACTCAATTACACTGATAAGATTGTGGATGCTGATAACAATCCCAATTTTCAAAGAGGAAGTAGTCATGGTCATGTTTTACTGGGCGTTAAACTCATACACCCAAGTGCAGCATACGAGCAGCATATCAAGAGCATACATACTACTCTGTTAAGATGTCTTGTTCCAGCCCAAAAACGATTAAAGAGTAGGTAGCTTTTATGAGTCGCACCTTGCTTAAAGTAAGAAACCTAGACTATCTATTAAGCGGTTAGTAGAACAAATTTCATCCCCTGTTTTTCATTTTTTCCCCCTCATTAACAAGATGAAAAATACCGACCTCAAAAAAATTTCAGCTTAGAGATGAAAGAAACGCTCAACATTAAAATGTAAAATTGATGACCAGATTCAACTAAAATATCATGTTCAAATCTGGACTGAGTGGAACTATTCATGCGCACTCGTAAACATTACCTTAATAGGCAACCTTGACAACGAAAGCAAGTTCTGGGTAGTTAAAATCTGGTGTTGAGGCTCAGGTCCTGGAGATCGAGTTATTGCTTTTGGTTCTTGTTAGAAAATATCACTGACATGGCAAGGCTTTTCCTGACTGAGCCTGATGGTTAACACTTTATGCGGTTTCTATAATTTCTTCCTCACCCAATTCCCTGACTTTTTTTGGCTTTTCCCGGACTCAAAACTTTTGGAACCCCGTGACTCTCCCTGACCTTCCACGGTGGCATGACCTCATGAAAATGGCAAGCCTGAGAAAATCCCAACCTTGATAGCCAGATCTTCCAAAATTTACAAATGCGGTCTCTACAACTAGATGTATTAGTCTCATCTAATATTGATAATCCGTTCATTCTAAACTGAATTGTAAAAAAGAGCATTCTTGAAAGTTAACCACACAGATTCTACAAAAATTTTTGTCAAAGCAGAGAGTAAAGAGATATATTACATATTTAATAACATAACATTCTTGTAAGGACCAACATGGGAGATAAAATACTCCTAACAAGGCTTCCTATTTAGCATACTCATAGGAACATGAAGCATGGGCTTTCGGGCGTATTAAGTAGATGATGAGTTTCCACCTCACCTCTTAGATTCGCATGGCACCATTTGAATCTGATGTGTAAAGAGAGTTGTTGGTGAACAAACTGACTTGTGCTGCGAAGCCGTTGCATGATAAAACTTGAGCATTGTAAAACTTTCCAGACATCACGAATGCAAAGTTCATGATATGTAACTCCATCCAAGAAATGGCAGTAAGATTAAACGAATGGTAATTCTTCAAATGCCAAACCTTCCATTAAAATAGAGGAGGTGACATGCGATTAAAGCAAAAAGGGAAGTGAGGTCTTACCTTCCGCGATGACATCTTCCACAACAACATTGGTTCTCCCAACGGTGAACGATTTCCCGACATAGTTATTCGGCTCCTTCGGGGTGCTGTCTATCCTCGAATCTATTTTGGAGAATAATTTCTTCATTTTGACTGACTTCTCTAGATGCTTGTGTTTAATTAACATGAGACTTATGAGGAGCGATAGAGGCTGAACGAATAACAAGATAATAACAAGCCCTGGAGGGGCTACTTTCGATGTAACCTATATTTTCTGGAGGAAGCACTACTTTACACGCCAGCTTAAATGGACACTTCCCGTTGGATAAAAAGGGTTCGAAAAGGCGTTCTTTCGTTTTGAAAAGAATTGTGGCTCATTTTCGGAGAAATAAACGAGTAGGCTCGAGGCAGACATGTAATTAAAACCAGGAAGATAGGGGCTTCCGTCTAAGAGCTGATGCAAAGGGAACTAACACAACACGGGGGAGGATATTTAACTTGTTTTATTGTGCGATTGCAATTTCGCTAGTAATCACAGTAGATACATCTTGTAATTCACAGAACTTTTAAAGTGAAACCTTCACGCGAGCAGAAAATCGCCATTACTTTACGGCGCTGATTTGAGTCTATTGATGTTTTGACGTGTTTCAAAAATGAAGGTCAAATTTAATTTTACAGTTATTTTCTCCAGTTTCCATGTTGGCGGAACTGGAAACAATGACGTCAGTCTCCTCCTTTTTTTGAGGGCGCGTAATTTGAAATGACGCATCTTGCTGTGATGAGGCTATCCGTTCACGAGCGGAAAATCGTGAAAAAGGAAAAGCCGTGTATGCTTTTGGAAAAACCTATTACCATTTATTTCGATCGGTTAAAGAAGGAGGCAACAGAAAGTCACAAATCAAGTAGAAAATAGGGGAGGTCGTTGAGATTATCAGAATGGAGTTCTGATGACTAAGAAAATTAAGAACAGAATAACTTTTGAAATGGCCGAAATTCCATCGGTTTATTTGAGTCTATTTATTTTCAGTTCATCTGAAAGTGTATATAAGTGTTTTTACTTCTTGATAATTTCTGTAGCCTGCCTTACTTAGCTATGTCATTTACAGTCAGTGTGATTATATATTTTTGAATTAAGTCTGTCCAAAAGTTTTGTTTTACTAATTCTGGTTCTCATTCTTCGTTACCTACACTTCTGAACTTTTTGTACATACTGCTGTTGCTTTTTTATGATAGAGTTTTTATAATAAAATTGTTCGGACCCCTTATCATGTCTTCATTTTTATCTTTCATTTTACATGTTTACCTTCATTTTTTCCACAAAGAAAAAAAAGGTGTGGAAAAAGTCACGCTTATCAGTACTTTTCCCATCTTATGGGGGCATCTTGTATTTAAGGTAAGAAGTACGTCCAAAAACGTAAAGAATTTTACTTTTTTTCTTCTTTCGTAGAGGACGCTTTTAGCTTCAAAATGGTGAGCAACATCGTGTACTTTACTACTATCTTTCTGTTTTAATTGGAGTTTTTCAAAAATGAAGAGCGCTTGTCTAGGTCAATCAAGGTAGCTACATGGCTCTTTCCCCCCTTAGCACGATTTTGAATTATAAGTGTTTCTTACCTTCCAGTGCATGTTTCTTAGAAACTGAAAGTGATATCTTTCAAAGCTTCTCTTTTTTTTAAATTTCCCTAGAAATCAGGGCTCTGGAAGGAACAAGATTTGTGAGTGTAGGCACATAAATTGTTATTCTATGCCACAATACAGCTCAGAAAAATTTACCAAACTTTCAATTTTCAAAAAAAACTTTCTTCGAACAAATTTTTGTTTCTCCAGTTCTAGTAATAGAAACAGTCATATTCACATGCCTGAAAAATTTCAAGCTTGTAGGTCTAATAGTTTATGAGAAAACTTCTCCAGAAGTTGAACAGATTTCACATTGATTCAAAGGTGACGAAAGTGCTTCTTACCATATAAGAGCCTGGATCTGTTTTAACCAAATCTGAGGAAAAGTATTTTCTTCACCCTAGTGGCTAAGGCTGATTTAATTACTTGGAAAATATTAATAATTTTTCCTTTTTTAATTAAATGTCTAAATAAAACTGACGTTTAAGCTTGACCGTCAGAGTGTCTACTAAAATAGGCTGGCCAAAAATCGGTACTTTTTCAGTGCATTCCCAAGAAATTCAGTACCTTCTTAACAGAAAAATTCAGTACTTTTTCAGTACCTCCAACTGACGACATTTGAAGAATTTCAAAAATTTGAATTTCTTGCTTAAAATGACAAAAAAATGAAAAAAATTCTGGACCTTCTTGCAGAATATCCGCTCTTTTTCAGTACTTCCGGACCACCCTTAAAAAGTCAGTACTATTTCCGGACTTGTAGACACCCTGACAGTGCCAAGTGGAAACGTTTCATTGCTGATGTCCTCTTTCAAATTTTTTAACTCTTGCAAGAGGAAGTCCTGCTTGTTAATGCTGTTTCAATATTTATAAGAGCATTTCATTTTTTTTGGGGGGGAACCATTACACGAATGTGCCCAACAACTTAAGTGTCAAATCTCTCAAGTTTAAGGAAAAATCATTATAAATTTGAGGCGAACATGAGGAGTTTCACCTACAAAAATTAAAAATTTAGTGAGAGAAACTGACATAAGGCAATCAAGATATGTTCCTACACGTTAGAGATGATAATTGTCTGACACACAATTTTTCCTATAAAAATGACCCTATGGCAGGATTTTTAATTAAGATTCATGAGTCAACATAAAGTTGCAAATTGAATCATTAACGGATTTCTCATTGTACTTAGGGATGCTTAGAAAGTAGAAAGTTTCAAGTCCAAATTTATTACAAAATCGGTTTTTATTAGGTATTTACAACAGTACAAATTGAAAACCACAATTAACCAGGTCCTAGATGAAAGACGTTATTTACAAAAAGGTACTGAAAGAATAGATACTGTCAAGCATTGAGAGCCGAGAGTACTTTGTAAATACACACACATTTGAATTCACACCTATTAAAAACGTAAATGCTTTTATGAGAGAATACATTAACTGCATAGAGTTAGAGAATTAAATTGAGACCGACTTGCCTACGGAAGAATTACGTTGCATTGATAATTGGCAAAATAAAATCACACATTCAATAATTCTTCTAAAAGTGAGAATTTTGAAGCATCGCGACTAAATACTAAATTTGTGTGGATCAACACATTGTTTCAATCAGAGTATTACACCTAACAAATATTGAGTATTTCAAAAAGTACATCAAGCATATCGATAGCTTAATACGAAAAATGCGTATCTCAATTACAACATTTAAAAATCTCCAACTACGTTTTGTTTCCTTCAAGGAAAACTAATCAAAATGTTTCCAAATGTTCAAAAATGTTTCAAATGTTTTCTGTGCTTTTCAAAGAATGAGAGAAGAAAGTTCACAGAAAATTTCTAGAGAAACATATTTTCGGGAGGGTTTCCTTGAATGAAATAAAACATGAGTGGAGATTTACAACGTAACAATCTGTGATACAAATTTTTTGACTTAGGCCATCAATATTCTAGATTTTCCTGAATAGCAACATGACTTATTAGTAAAAGGTACTTGAGGACAAATGTATACTAAGTAATTTAAGAATAATAACTAAATAAGTACCTACACATGGCATGAAGAAATATTTGAACATACTTTTTTGGCACGATGTCACCATGCGTAACTTCTTAATTTGTGACAGCTTTGAAAATTCTTTTTTTTGATTTTCGAGAAATTAACTTTTAATATCACATACAAATACAACATGTGATGCCAACAAGGAGTCATCAAGTTAAAACAGCCTTCACAATATTTGAACGGAAGATGAAAAAAAAAAAAATGTATATATATTTTGATGAAAGCTGAAACAATTAAGATCTACACATAAAATTCGAATTTGATTTCAAATCAGTAATCAACAGTGCTCCTAAAATTTCATGGTAAAAAGTTGATACTTTGAGAACCAGAATAAATAAAGGACATATAAATGGTAAGTTGGCAAAGTAATAATGACGATACAAAAATTTTAAAAAACAATACGACTATACGAGTTTCGTATGAATAATACAATTTTAACGTCACTCACTGGCACAAGTCAATATTTCTTTTTTGAATTTTACTTCTTTTCTTCTATTATTTCGTTGACCGCAACTGAAACGCGTCAAGAAATATTAATTTAAATGCGAGTGAGTTCTGTTAAGATTTTGTTACTTACAAAAATTTAAAATCATGAAAAGAACGATCCAGAAAGGAGCTGAAAGAAATGAAGGAAACAGGGACCGGTTAACATGGTGCACACAGACAGATGAGTTTAGAAGGAATATCGCTTAGTGCCACTTAGGCTTCTTCTTCGTGTTCTTCTTCTTCGAATTCACAATCTTCATCGACTGATGCTTCCTGGTACTGCTGGTATTCGCTCACGAGATCGTTCATGTTGGACTCGGCTTCAGTGAATTCCATCTCGTCCATGCCTTCGCCTGTGTACCAATGCAAGAAAGCTTTGCGCCTGAACATAGCCGTGAACTGTTCCGACACTCGCTTGAAAAGCTCCTGGATCGCGGTTGAGTTTCCGATGAATGTTGCGGACATTTTCATTCCCTTTGGTGGAATGTCACAAACAGCGGTCTTGCAGTTGGATGGGATCCATTCGACAAAGTAGGAGGAGTTTTTGTTCTGTACGTTCATCATCTGTTCGTCGACTTCCTTCATTGACATCTTACCACGGAAGATGGCAGCGACGGTGAGGTATCGGCCGTGACGTGGGTCGCAGGCGGCCATCATGTTCTTCGAGTCGAACATTTGTTGGACGAGTTCGGGGACAGACGTGGCACGGTAGTTGACAGAGCCACGGGCGGTGAGAGGTGCGAAACCAGGCATGAAGAAGTGCAAACGTGGGAAGGGAACCATGTTCACGGCCAGTTTGCGGAGATCAGAGTTCAGTTGACCTGGAAAACGAAAGAGGAACCAATGAAGGATTGAAGAAGCAAATTTCAACACAGCTAAATGTCCACAGACTCAGCGAGAAATATTTCCTGACTTTTAACAGGGAGTCTAGTTTTTTTTTTTTTTTTCATTTTGGGAAACCCTGATTTTTGACTGCTAAATTTTGATTTCAGAACTTTCCCAAACCCTAATTTTTTGCAGAGAAAAATGTAACTTCGCAAAAATAGCTTGATAAACAAATCCGATCGGACGGCTGACTTTTCTCAAATCCCGATTTTACTACCGCTTGTTCCTCAAATCCTGTTGAAATCGGGAGTAAATCCTGATTGACCTCAAATCCTGATAGAATCAGGAAATTCCTGATGCTAGACACCCTGTTCAAGGGGTTTTCTCCGACCTAGATGATAAAAGTTAAGAAACTGTAAAAAGACTATTGTTGTAATGTCACTCTAATTAAAAGAAAAATAAGAGCCTTTTTCTCGGGTATTAATCATCCAGTTAACAAGAATTTCATCTCCTTTTCAGAAAATATTTCTCTGGATACACTTTTCAGAGTTTAACTAGGAACGTTGAACCCTGACACCAGGTTGAGATTGATTGAGTGGGCAGTGCTGATATTTTTTCAAATTTTAAGATTTTACAAACTTCTAGACTTTTACAAAAAATTCCCTGACCTGATGTAACTCCCCGGCAATTCCCAATTTTTCAAACCTGTAAAAATGTTGAGAAAACAGAGTCTCTCAGCATTTTAGCAATTTAACTAGTCTCTGTAAAATTGATTACCAAAACTTTTTCAAACTTCAATGCTGTGTCCAAAAAGTATTCATTTTGGTTTTAATTTTCCGTAGGTATTAAACATAAATGGCTAGATTTAGCTTATCCTAAAGTAAAGTCTGACATATTTGACTATATTTTCTCAATTTTTAGAATTCAAGTACTTCCAAGCACCAAAAAAGTTCAGAGAAAAATAACGTATAAATTAGACTTAGTCTTGAAAACTTTGCAGACATCATCAAAAAAAAATATTTTGAGTTTCTAAGATGAGATGGCCAGTTAATATGCATTTCTATTTTTTTATTCATCAGTTTTTTTTTATTTGTTCAAGTGCAGACTTGCATGAAACATGTCCCAATATTGAATTCCTACATAAGTACGATAAAATCTTCATAAATTAGGGTTAAACATCGAGGGAGTGGTCATGCATGTTTACCTGGGAATCGGAGACAGGTTGTAACTCCGGACATAGTTGATGAGACAAGATGGTTGAGATCACCATAGGTGGGGGTTGAGAGCTTCAGTGTACGGAAGCAGATGTCGTATAAGGCTTCATTGTCGATACAGAAAGTTTCATCTGTGTTTTCGACCAACTGATGGACTGACAGGGTAGCGTTGTAAGGTTCCACAACGGTGTCTGAGACCTGAAAACCAGATGAATACTGTGTTGGCAAGATGGTGAGTACAGTTAGAAGTGTCGTCAGGCAAGTTGGCTGTCGATTGCTTTCTACCCGATCTGCCTACTTGGCCATCTCTACACAGGTTGAAGGTGCTTCAGTTGGTTGCTACCAATCAGGGCACGAGTAGGGTCTCTTAATGGTTATCACATTTATAAGATGAAAGAGACTAAGTTTTTATCCTTCCCCCCCCCCCTCTTTTTTATGAATGATTAGGCTTACATCATTGTTTCAAAATGTTTTACATTGGAATTTATCTGTTTGTTACAATCCACAAAGACGTATATGCCCAAAAAAATTTGTGAATCAACAGGGGTATCTTCTCTTTCCTCCGAAATTCGAGATTGATCACCTTATTTTTGCTCTTGGTGAAGACATCGCTGCAATTTGGCAAAACGCATGCAAGTTTCACCTGGATTTTGCAGAGAATAACCTACTATTACTCTATCACTTACACAGCCCAATTTTTTGCAACCCTGAGATATCATAAGGTGCCACTCTTTGAAGAAGGTAAGTAAGCGTTATTTTTAATGGAAATGTAGCAGCCAACAGCAGAGTCACCCACATGTCTGAGCAGAAAGTATTTGACAGTCATCTTCCCTGACGACACCTATAAATCATTATGAAAAAGTCTGGAAATTCATTATCAAAAGCTAAAGCCATTCTGCAATTTATCAGTGCTTCTATCAAGATTAAGATTTAGGAGAGTCATGAGTAGAAAAAAATGTCAAGGTATGTAGGAGAATGTCCTTCTTTTTTTCCAGTTCTTGGTCAAACTAAATTGTACATATAATCAGATGTAATACAAGACAGGGTTTCTTAAAACCTGATCATTAATTCATCAGTTATGCAACATTTAGTGACACACAGGGTCATGCAATCTGGCACCCTGATAGTGTCGTTCCTGTGTGTATTCGAAACTAAAAAAAAAAAGATTTTCTAAAAAAAAGTTTTATGACTTTGCGGAGCACTTTTTTAAGGATCTGCTGGGTGGATTTTCAAAAACTTCGTTTGTGTTTGTTCCCAACTTTCTCCTTTAAATAAAGACAGGCGGGTTTTCTGCAATTACCCTCCAGAAAGGAAAATAAATCCAGTCTGAAGGGCCTTTATGGGTGAAATTTATTTACTTTTGTCTCAGGAATTCAAAAGAAATTTAATTTGTGACTTTCCAATAGCCCTCTCTTCTTAAGGCGGAAGGAAAGTCTAAGAGATCAATCAAAAAATCTGAAAATCTATCTAGGAGAGCTTGAAAAAGTGTACCTCAGCACCAGTAAATTTTACATAGCGAAAATAGGAATTCATGACACCCTTAACTTTTCTACACACAACTATTGCTTCAGTAAGAGTCCTCTACAACACCATAAATTTCCATTTTACGGCAAAGTTTCTAGATCGATATGAGACATCAAATGTTACATTTACACGACTGAACTCTTTAACCTGAGATTTCAGTGTGTTATGATCATTGACATTTCCAAACAAACATCCACATTCAAAGAAAAGTGAGCGAATACAGAAAAGTTGAACGATCAAATTATATGGTGAAGATGATTACCTTGGGGGATGGGACAACACTGAACGTGTTCATGATTCTGTCAGGGTATTCTTCACGGATTTTGGAGATAAGGAGCGTTCCCATTCCGGATCCAGTACCGCCACCAAGTGAGTGGGTCAGCTGGAAACCTTGTAAGCAGTCACAGCTTTCTGACTCTTTCCTGTGAACAAATTTGGAACACTGTTAGAGTTGAGGGAAATAAAAATAATACAAAGATTCTCCAAAGTTCTTCTTTTTTTCAATGGTTTTCCAATTGCAGTTTGGGAACAAAACAAGTTGATGAGCTCCTTTACGACAGAACAGTGATAACTTCTTCCCCTTGTTAAGCAGAGATTGTGACTGCTGTCAAAGTGGATACATTTATCCAAAGTATACTTCAAGGCCACATAATGAAAATTTTCGACTGCTTCATGTAGTTAAATAAAAAGTATTTCTTTGACATCTTGGCAACTGTAATGAAAAATAGTTGATAAAGTTATTTACCTGAGACATCAGCAAGGATTAATTGCTGTAGTTAGTAGTTTAAACTTGTAACAAGGAGACAGGCAGCTTTCGGTTCTTAACTCCTCTTCCACGTGACTAATTTCACTGAGCTCTTTGGAGTGAAAATTCCAGAGCTAACATTAAATTCCCTATTTTTCAAGTAAGTGGCAGAAACCCCACTTATCACAAGAATTTAAAAATTGGAGCTATGAAAATCGAAATTTTTTGCTTTCAGTTTTCAACTCGGAGGCTTTAGGGGAGGATAATTTATATTACCTGACAACGTCTAAAACAGCATCCACCAATTCAGCGCCCTCAGTATAATGTCCTTTGGCCCAGTTGTTGCCGGCACCACTCTGTCCAAAAACAAAGTTATCAGGTCGGAAAATCTGACCGAATGCAGCGGATCGTACAGAGTCCATGGTTCCAGGTTCCAAATCGACAAGGATTGCACGAGGCACATACTTGTGACCTGAAAAATCAATTGAAATATTATTTCATTTGTTCTGCCAGTTAGGAAGTACCATACTATCTCCTCATGAAAATCTTTCTCTATGCATTCTTCTTGACCATGCAAAAAAGTCCACCCAAACCAAAATTGCAAAAAAACCTCCCTCTATGTGAGCATTGACTCTTGCATACAAAATTTGGAGAGGGTAAGGAAGTCCTGCTTTCTTCTGTACACACGTGTTATAAAAAGAATGAACATTTTATTTTTTGGCTGTGTAGAACTTTGACAACTAAAGTAATTTTCTCCAGAGCAACCAAGTAAGTATATGAATGGCTAAAGCGCAAAACCCCGAACCTCCATTTGCAACATTGCTGACTTCCAATCATACTTTCTACGTTGTGTCTGTGGAAAACTAGTCAACATAATATCTTGAAAACTTCAGTAATGTTTCTTCTCTGTTGACAGAATGTTCTGTAAAAATTTTTAGCTAAAAAGTTGACTTATTTCTCTTCAAAAAATATAATCGTGGCAGAAATTTTGAAACTCTGGGATGGAGATATGAGCTTTCGCTCTTTGGCTATTGATAATATGACAAAATATAAATAAAGATAGTAACCTCCTCCACATTCATTGTAATAAACGTTGATCCTTTCAAGTTGAAGATCTGAGTCTCCGGTGTAGTTACCAGTGGGGTCGATGCCATGTTCACCTGAGATGACTTCCCAGAACTGAAAAAAAACAAACAGAACAAAATTACTTTCATGCTAAAATCAACATTGGAAACAATTTTGATTTAATTTTGTCTTGAGTAGTTTTAAGAAATGAGAAACAGAATACGAATTTAAAACAGCCAAGATGATTTGAAGGACTTATGTTTCTCTCTCTAGAGTGTCTACAAACTCAGCAAGGAAAATACTAACAGACTGTTCAAGATTTTATCGGAACAAAATTTTATGGCTTTTGCATTGAAAATTGGACGTATATATGCTAGAAGGAACAATGTGCATAGGATTTGCATGAAACGTAGTTCCTTTTAAAATAAATACGTTTAGTTGGCATTCATTAAACACAGATGAAGGCGTAAAAATTTACACAAGCTGACCAAATATACTCCAGCCCTCGACAAATAAGTTGGCGCATACCTAAACTGCAACAGAGAATTGTTTGAAATCACTCTTACATATAAAGTAAATGCAAGGAGCAAGATGGCCGATCTTCCTTCGCACTCTGGAAGTGCATGAACTTTTCCAGCTCACGGACTCTCTTACATAGCAGAAACAGAACCTTCGCTCACAGGCTCAGGCCACCCCAGAACAATACTAAGCAAGCGTAATACCTACAGCCAGAGAATTCCTCTGCAATAGTGAATGCAATTATAGAATTTAAGCGGCTGAGTGGAGGTAAATTACAGGAGGAGGAAGATAATGGAAAACGTAAGAGAAACCTGGGAGATGGATGATGGTGACCATGCTTGCGGTCACAAAAACAGCTGATAAAAATAGTGAATATCGGTGCTCGGAGGTATCATTTAAAGAACAGAAGTTCGGTAAGGAGATAATAGTTGAAAATAAGATAAATAAATGGAGGATAAAAGTATTAGGCTTGGAAGAATAAAGAACCCCGCAGGTTAGGAGGCCACACGCCGAAGCTGAGTTAAAGTTAAATTGTATGGGAAAATGGAAATTACCTTGGAACCGATCTGGTTTCCACACTGGCCAGCTTGAAGATGAACGATTTCACGCATTTTGAGTTAAATTTGAGTATAAGAGCAAATAAAAATTAAAATTTCACAGAGCGGTACACGGTTCTAGGCACAGCAAGCGGACGTTTTGACGGTTTCAGCAAAACAATGAATTTTGCCGCCAACAAGAAAAGCCGTTAAAATAAACATTGTATCATTCCGCAGCAACGAAAATTTCAAATGATAATGGATTTCATCATCTTCGCTCAATCCTTACGATTGAAAATATTATTTTTAATTTCAAAATTGTAATTTTTCATTTAATTTATTGCAATTAAACTTATTTAAGGGACAAACTATGAAAAAATGACTAATAACCTTAGAACTACTTTTTGTGCACGAAATTCTAACGTCCAATCAAAATGAAGCGATTACGTCATCGTTATCAGGTGACCTCGCGGCGGGTTTCGCGTCGCGGTTCAAATTAACGGACAAATTTTGATAACGGCTAAATTTTCAAGGCTTTGTTCTGAGTTCTGATCCCATCCCACTTCATCAAGGCCTTTGACCCCCTCGACTATAAACCACTGAATTTATCAACGTTATGTAATAAAATTGCATTATTTGTCACTGAAGTTTTTCGCGCGCATTTTAATGACCATTATTAATTTGAGGTATTATTAAGTACTGCAAGGAATGGGCTGTTTCCAAATCATCAGATAAAAACTTCCAAGAAATCTAAGTTCTGGCAATAGTAGGAACCGTGACAACATGACGACTAAAATTACGACTTTATTCCACTTCACATCCTCCGATATTTCTAGTATTCTATCTTTTTTGGAATAAATCAAAGGAAATCTTAGGAACACCCCCCCCCCTTACTGAAATGAATTGAAAAAAACGCCTACTTCCAGTGCCAATTTCCCTAAAAACTGTCCAAGTTAATAACTTACTCCTTTTTAATAGCGCTTGTTTGCTGAGAATTGTTGTTTTTTTCTCCCATTCATGATAACAAAAAAGATGGTTACCTAAATATGCATTTGAGAGAAAGAAAAAAAATCCCCGGAAATAAGTAAAAATTGTCACAGTAATGGGAATAAAATTGCAGACCTTTCACCCAGAGCGCAACACCTGAAGCTTCTACGCTGTTCCAGTTGTGAATTGTGAGAGCCGTTATTTTGCCACATCAGCAAGAAATCCTCTTTGCAATTTTTTTTTTAAAAAAAAATTATTCTATTTCCAGGGTTATGATCACAAAAACGGCAACATAGGAGCTCGATGTGGAAACTTTCGACTACATACTGATAGAAATGTAGGGGGGACATGACTTAATCTCCTCTGATCAGTCTAAAAAAATTCCTCACTTCTGGAAGACGGTAAAAGTGCCTATGCTTTAACCAAAAAAATTAAAATTCAGTGTACTTTGTTTTTTCTTACTATTCACTACTGAAAAATTTTCATCAAGGGTCTTACACATTCTCTGAACTCCTGTCTAGAATTTCAATTTTTTCAAAATTAACTGTGCGTCATTCTTTGAAAATCGCAGTGGCACACTGAGAGGGACTGAGATTAATGTTTGGACAACAACAAAAGAGGAAACATAATATTAATATTGCTGAAATTTACTTTAATTTCCCTTTCAATTTTGGGTCCTTTGGCTTATAGGTTCCATATCCTCTAATATTAAGACCTTAAAGTACACTCCTGATTTTGATAACAATATCCTGAAAATTCTGCTTTCCTAGACTCTCACTGACCTTCAAACAAAACTTCCACTTGGATTAATGTTTCATTCATAGGGGGACTTGGAGGAAAAGACCCATAAAAGCAGTTTTTGAAAGGATTGAAATATTGGTGATTTAAATTAAGCTTGCCTGGAAATAGATTCTGTTCATTCAATGGTAAAATCCAATTTAAAATGCGCATCAAGAAGTGAGTTTGAACTTTTTTATCTCCCGAGGCTCCATGTAAATTTGAAACTTTTAACTTTTCGAAATTTAAAAACTGCACTCGTGTGCCTTAACCTCCAACTCCCTCAATTACAGTGACTTTCTCTAAACTGTGGACGAAATTGTCGCTTTTAGATAAATTATAGAAAATTGCACTCAGGAGTTATGAGTACATTCCCTTTCTAATAGGCCCTGCTGAAGTTGTTGAACATATTTACTAATGACAAAATTCTGACCTTTACAGGTGGTTGCCAAGAATTCACTGACTTTCCAGGTTTTCCAGACTGCTGGAAACCCTGATTTACTGCAGCAACCAGTTTTTTTCACTCTTCCACATCTTTACCATACTATAAATAAGTCTTGGATGATGAGGTTTCAGACAAAATAGGAGAAATATTAATGAAAAATTTTTATTAATTACTTAGAAGTTAGAACACCTGAGACTAGCGTATACAACGCTTAGAAATGCTTAAAAGTTAAAACCTTAAGAAAATTTGAGTGAGAGTATTCAAACTTGTAATTAAAAGAATAACATTTCAAAGTTTGAGATACGGATCCTTACATGAATTTAACTAGACTAAAAAAAATTTATACACTTAACAGGAATGCATTACCAGTCGGATTACAGAATGTGATGAAGCTCCTTTGAGTCTGATGTCACGGCAGTAAATTAAACTTCTTAATTTTTAGGTAAAAAATGGAAACACAAGAAAATAACGGGAGATTTTAAAAAGACAATAGGCAAGTTATGACATGAACATGTTTTAATGATCCCTTAATGACAAGAGCCTGGTATCTACGATCAAAAAATGGGTTTCATTGATGCAACTATCAAGAGTTACTAATGAAAACCAAGAGACACCTCTATGTTTTGACTAACATGAACCGCGAGCTGAATATCAAGACATTTATTTGATGATCTGTTCGCAATTTATGTTGATAAAAGATTTATGGCTCTTTCTTACTTTGATTGGCAACCCTCAACAGTTGTAAAAATGGCGCATTTTGATCACGGAAACCAAGTTATGCAAAATTGCGAGCGAACAAAATTCGACATTCTATCGATTCTTCCCAGGTTTTTTTCTTTGAACGTTTATAAAACTAATACTGCTCTGGTTTAAAACTTTAAGTCAACTACAGGAATATGAAAGAACAATACAGGTGATAGTGATTGACAGGTTGCAGTTGAGAAAATAAACTACTGAGGTGAATTAAAACAACAGATGGATGTGAATTAAAAGACTAACTAACTCAAGATCCAACTGAGTGATCAATTCTGGAGTATCTGTTTGATTCCTAACCTGTAGCAATGAGACATTGGATCAAGTAACTTGAAGTCAATTATTACTAGGAGAATACGTAGGATTTTTGAGAGCTTTATAATGCAGAAAAAAATTTTTCTTTAAGTAAAAGGCAATGAGTTATTAAAATGCTTGATAAAATAAATACATAATAAAAAAAATAAGAGAATAACTTTTCAATACTAAAAACATCCAGTGCAGTTTAGAAAGTCAATAAATAAGAGAAAAATCATACAAAGATTCAATGAGGATTATAACCCATTGTCAACACTTTCAGAATTCAGCATCCCGCATGCTGTTTTCCAAATTAGTATTCCTGTGACTGAGATTTTGATTTGCCGCTCTTGACTGGTCCAGAGGTGGTTCCGGTTTTCTTGGGTAGAAGGATGGCCTGAATGTTGGGCAGGACACCACCCTCAGCAATGGTAACTCCAGTGAGAAGTTTGTTCAATTCTTCGTCGTTACGGATGGCAAGCTGCAAGTGACGAGGGATGATCCTGAAAAAAAAACGATACAATTTAGAAATCGTTGGATTCAGATTAAATGTACAATGAAGTGTCTGGAGATTTNGGGGGGGGGGGGGGGGGGATAAAAATGTGACTTCGTATGAGTCTTTCTATCTATAAACAAAAAGTAAATTCAGCCATAAAAAAAAGACAACATTCTTTCCATAGAAAAGATTTGAAAAACTGAGATGTTGCCTCCAGTCTAACAGAGATGAAGACTTTCTATTATTTACAGAGGAAAAGTGAAAAATGAATCGACCATGAATAAGCAAATTAATTCAGGTACTTCGGATTGTTCGAAGAGCTACCTAAAATTTCAGCAATGACTTCTATTGAACAAAGACAACTTCTGCCACACAAATTAGGAAATTAAATTCCCTGACAATTCCTCCATTTCTCTGACAAAGTTAGGTAAACTTGGGAATAAAAAGGATGACTAAGATGATATAACTGGAAATAGTATTCATGCACCATTTGTTGTTCGACAAACAAGGTGTGGAAAGCAAATAATAGTCACTTATTAATTTTTTCCTGACTTTTTTCTGAAGGTCGACTGAAGTTTCATTTAGACTTCCCTGATGTTCAAAATGAAATTTTCTGATTTTTCGCCTGAGAACATTGATACCTGATGGATTTTGTTAACCAACAGATTTAACCCTTGGGGCCCTGGGTTTTTTTTTTCTCTCCAGATGGCACCGCATTCTATTGGCAGTAGCCTAAAGTTGTAGTTCAGATCCTTCCTGACAGAAAACGTACACTTTATGATTTGATACATCGATTACAGAATGAGACAGAGGGGAGCCTCTGGCCGGCGGCCGCAAAAAGAGTTTTGCATGGGCCAGGGCGTGCGTTGCACAACTAATCTCATCAGGGTGTCTACTAAAACAGGCTGGCCAAAAATCAGTAATTTTACAGTGCATTCCCGAGAAATTCAGTAACTCCTTAACAGAAAAGTTCAGTACTTTTCTAGTACCTTCATTTGACAAAATTCAAAAAATTTCAACAGTTTAAATTTCTAGCTCAAATTGCAACAAAAAAGACCAAAAGATGAAAAAAGTTCTGGGCCTTCATGCGGAATTTCCGCACTTTTTCAGGACCTCCAGACTGCCCTTAAAAAAGCAGTACTATTTCTGGACTTGCAGACACCCCTGCTCATGCATATTGCATAGGCCTCAAAGGGTTCAACAATTGAATCAAATGTATTTTTTCTGCACAGGCTTACGTAAGTGTAAGTAGCTAAAAAATGCTTGATGCACTCAGCGTTTCCTGATCCAGGACCAAGTTCCCTGATGACATTAAATTTCTAGATATTTTTTCTGTTATTACTGATGGTGGAAACTCCTGCTCCCACATTTTTCCCTAACAGTGGCAACCTTGGTCCACACATATTAAGTAAGTGTGCAAAATTTTTTGTAAGTCTGAGATCGATTTTCCAAGATGGCACTACTGGACTTAGGAGGCTCAAATCATATTATAATAACCAAGTAATGCAATGAGAAGTAAAATATACCTGGTTTTTTTGTTGTCTCTGGCAGCATTTCCAGCTAATTCAAGAACTTCAGCAGTCAAATATTCAAGAACAGCAGCCAGGTAAACTGGTGCGCCTCCTCCAACTCGTTCAGCATAGTTGCCTTTCCTTAGCAGTCTGTGGATACGCCCAACGGGGAACTGCAGTCCAGCTCTGCTAGACCTCGTCTTTGCTTTGGTCTTAGATTTACCTGTAAGAGTAAGAGTGGAGAAAACGGCGTGAATAAATTTCAACTTCAATACAAAGCGAAAAGTACATGGTAAACGGTGATTTTTTTCCCCATTCCATACTCAAAAATGCCACACTGGATTTCAATGATACTTAGTAAAATTTTGTGTTCTTGATTTTACTTTATCGATTCATATCAATTACTCAATAAGCGCTCATTGAACACAGATAATTGTAAAAATGATCTCATTAACGAATCTATTTTAAAACTGTCCTTCTGGAATATTCATATGGGTGAATCAAGTTAAGTACAGGTCACTGCCACATACCGATGTCCCTACCATCCGTCTCAAGTACAATGTCGCTGTGTTCATGCAACAAAGGTGAATGCTAATAAATCAATTGACAGTGGAGTGGATACAATTTTGATTTGGGTGACATAATTCCAATAGAACTAAAGGTTTAGTAAATGATGTGGGCGCGACTAAAATAATTCCTAGGAAACTGAGAAAGGCTGAATTATTCAACATTCTGATACTCTGAAAATTGTGTGCCACTTAAAACAGCAATTGAAAGTCAGAAAATATTGACGCTCGAAAAATTTGCATTGAAGAACCCCTCATGACAGAGGAATTGGCCTTCGCTTCTTCGCATCGTTTCAAGAAAAGAACTGGTTGAAGGTATGGCTTATATATGGCTGTTGCTATGAGAGTAAAATTGTGTATTATAAAAGGCAACATTTATAATGAATTGAGCAAGCTTTCAGATTCGACATTGGAGGTAAAAGAAAATAACGGAAATAAAATGTGCAGTCATGCTGAAATCTAGTTGTCATGATGATAAGATATGGGAGTTGGAGCAAGTTGCAATCGGACCTTTCAGAATATCTGATTGCTATAGCTTGTTGCGTTTGGGATTTAGATTGATATAAGTTATGCGTAATGAGGATGAAAAGAGAAATTTGACAAACAACGAATTCAAAGTAGGATTCCATTCCATTAGTGCAAGAATCACGATGAGGAGATGGGAAAATTGGAGTGGAGATAAGTGGCGTGGAAGGACCTCGAGGAAAATTGCGATCGGTGTCATAATTGTTGGTGATAACAGAAGAAAAGATGCTTACCTCCTTTTCCACGGCCAGACATGATTAGTCGAGATTAAATAAACGAAAACGAATTGATGAAAAGTTGCTGAAATTGCTAGAAAATCCGCGTGAATCTCTGAGGCAGGCCGCTAAACGAGAAAGAAAAGAAAATGGCCCGATTGCCGCGCAAAAAACGAATGGGGTACAGTTACCACCACAAAAAAAAAAAATTTACTTTCTTGATTTTTTTGTAAAATATTTTAACGTCATAATGACATTAAAATGAATGAAAAGCATATTAAATGAATGACATAAAACATTTTCTAGCTCCCGTAATTGAAAGGAGTCATAATGCACCTAAAATTTTTAGTTGATTCCCGAATTGTTAGTTAGAAAATTTAGAAAATTAAGTTGGAAAATTGGTTAATCAGTCAACAGTTTCGTCGCTAACCACAAATCAATAACAAAAAAGTGAGGTTAGCATCCATGGTTACAGGAGAATCGTCTCCAAACGTTGCTTTTTTAATTTATTTATGATAGTTTCTTAAAATTTGCATGAATCCAAGTTGTTTCAAGTGCTTTTCATTTTTTTCGTCGTGACCGTGAAGTTTTATTCTTACCAAGATGCCGCGGATTATGATCAAAGGGGGTGTTTGGAGAAACACCGAGGTTTGTACTTACGTTTGAATTTCTTACAGTAGCTTTGACACAGAGCTCTATTTTTTCTATGGATTAGCACATACAAAAGCTTTTAAAGCATTATCGCAGTACTTTGCATATGAGTCGCAATTGTGGCTCTCACTGAAACCCTCAAGGACAGCTTGGCGACATGTCCCTACTCTGTTCAGACCCAATCCACACGGTAGAAGTATTGCACCACTAATTTTAACTGAGCTATAGCAAGTTTTGGTGCATCTTTAAAGGACGCTACTTGCTGATGGGAAATTTTTTCCCAACTTCTAAATTTCCTGGTGTTGTGTCGCAGTACTCTTTTTGTGTGGATCGGGCTTTGCAAGTAGATATTTGTCTGAATCATTTCAAGGCATTTAACCAATGGTTGTTGCTTAACAATGTGAGATGCCATTTCAGAGACTTGTAAGAAGCAGAGGATACAGGTTTCACTCTGAGATTTTAATATACCCATCGCCACCGTATGTTGTGGGTCACACCGCACACCGAAATGGTCATAAAACTTCATCATCTATTGGAGATGTTGCATGTGTGAGGAATTTGCGATTTGACTATACATTCTTATGTAAAAGTTCGCGAGAAACATGATGGTGCCACTGGTTTTCTCAGAATCAACTCCCAAGCTCAAAAATTGCTCTCAAGTTGAAGCCAAAATGGAGGGGATATCCCACACTATCCCGAGAGTCCACCTCTATATCAAGACAAACTCTTAATGCAAAGATAGGGAGCGAACACATCAGCAGGGTTGCCGTTTTTTCAGTTTTAGAGTCCCCAAATAAAGTGGCAGCCCTGTCAATGTATTTGCTCCCTATCTTTGCATGAAGAGTTTGTCTTGATGTAGAGGTGGACTCTCAGGATAGCGTGGGATATCTCCTCCATTAGGCCCTCAATTTTGAGAGCTTTTTTTGAGCTTGGGAGTTGATTTACTTAAGGGAAAACCAGTGGCACTAACGTGTTTTTCGCAAACTTTTACATAAGAATCCGTAGTCAAAACGCGAATTCCTCACACTTGCAACATCTCCATTCTTGCTGCATCTAAGAAGATTGTGGTTTTACTCTTAATTTGTATTTATTTCTCTCAATCTAAGTTTCAAAGGATACAAATTCTAAGTGTAATGCATGTATCCAAATTAAGTTAGACCCACTACGTAGGCCAAAATAATCTAATTTTGAGTAAATCAGATGTCGTGCTCTTTTTTGCCCATTCACAAAAATATTAAAGTAACACTTAATACGTAATCTAAAATAAGTAATCTAGTTTCGGGTAAAATAAATGTCATATTTTTTATCGCCTACTCACAAATTTATTTGATGCTTTTCTCCGTCTTAGGATGAAATCCTCAAAGCTGCGGTTATGAAATATGGCAAAAACCAGTGGTCCAGAATAGCATCTCTTCTCCATCGCAAATCAGCAAAACAGTGCAAAGCTCGTTGGTTTGAGTGGCTGGACCCGAGTATCAAGAAAACAGAATGGAGCAGGGAGGAAGACGAAAAACTCCTCCATCTTGCCAAACTCATGCCAACCCAGTGGCGCACAATTTCGCCCATCATAGGAAGGACCGCTGCTCAATGTCTGGAGCGCTACGAGTATCTCTTGGACCAGGCTCAAAAGAAAGAGGAAGGAGAAGACATGGTGGACGACCCTCGGAAGCTGAAACCGGGAGAAATCGATCCGAATCCGGAAACCAAACCGGCTCGTCCGGATCCAAAAGACATGGACGAGGATGAGCTTGAAATGTTGTCTGAAGCCCGAGCAAGGTATGTATCAATTTATTTGCCTTATGGTAGAATGTATCCCTAAAAAAACTGCAAGAAAACAAAGTGTGAAAATAACAACAAGGCAAATCCAGGGGTTGAATTTCTGGCTGATTGTTGAAAGTGATAGACGAAGCTATAGACAAAGAAGACAAAAGCGATATGGAGGGATCCTAATGGTGGTAGTAGATGGTTGCAATGAACAAGGAAGGTAGATAATAGACCAACTAATGACAACCCACAAGAGACCCTATAGTTAGTCCATCATTTTCTCCCTTATTTTACAGGAACCTACAATTTTAATCAATAGGTTCGCTCCATACTCCCTATGCCTTCTTTGTCTATCGCATTGTCTTTCCATTTCAACAATCAGCCATGTACTGCCTTTGAACAGAATTATTCTCATGATACTTAAAACAAAGAGGCATTTTGATCCTCAAGATACACACCCTCACAAGCATTATTAAGCTTCCCAGTTATGCAATATTGAATCAAGGAAACTCTATCAGCAAAACGCAAAATAAGATACGGAAAACTAACAATTAGTGAAATATACACAGATTGAACATCTTGAATGATGTCGATCTCATTTTTACCAAATGCAATTTTTTTCTTTCAAGGTTGGCAAACACACAAGGCAAAAAAGCCAAGCGTAAAGCTCGAGAGAAGCAGTTGGAAGAAGCCAGACGATTGGCAGCAGTGCAAAAGCGAAGGGAGTTGCGGGCTGCAGGAATTGATCTCGCTCCTCGACACAAACGCAAACGAGGAGTCGACTACAATGCAGAGATTCCCTTTGAAATGCGCCCTGCTGCAGGTTTTTACGACACATCCAATGAAGTCATCGATCCTTTGGCTCCTGATTTTTCTCGACTGCGTCAGCAAGATCTGGACGGAGAGCAGCGCAGTGAGCGTGAAGAGCGAGAAAGGAAGCGGGACAAACAGAAGCTCAAAGAACGCAAAGAAAATGATGTACCATACGGCATGTTACAAAATCAAGAGCCAATTCGCAAGAGGAGTAAACTTGTATTACCAGAGCCTCAAATTTCAGATCAAGAGCTCCAACAGGTAAATTTGTTCAATTAGTTTCGGGTGGTTTTGCCAGAGAAGAATGTAACTGCCTTTCAACATTGTGAGAACTCTACTGAAAAATTGTATTTTTCACGTTTCGTTTCAACGTTATTGTTTAAAATGATTTGCACAAATGCATGCATCTTATTCTGTGCAAAATTTTTGCTATTAGGGACCATAAATTGGCTATTATTTTGTAATTAGAAACAACAAATTCTGGCTCTGTTAGAAACAATGTATGTGTATGTACTAATAATTTCCCAATTTAGTCTCTAATTGCCAAATGTAGTTCCTTTCACAGTGTGGATACTTGAAAACATTTGAAAGTTCTCTGAATGTCGATAAAAATCATCAAAACTTAATTTTTTTTTTAAATTTCAGGTTGTCAAGTTGGGAAGGGCGAGTGAAGTTGCAAGGGAGGCAGTTGCGGAAGGTGGCAACACTGTTTCTGATTCACTTCTGGAGGATTACTCGCTGACGCCAGCGACAATACGGGGCTCCCAGACCCCACTGCGAACACCACTTACCTCCGCACCAGCGAGTGACAGGGTGCTTCAGGAAGCGCAGAATATTCTATCTTTAACAAACACACCACAGAGCATGCGAGGGAAAGGCCAATACGCCACTCCCACTCCAGTCAGAGACAAATTGAACATCAATCCAGAAGAGACATTCGAGACTCAGGTGCGAATTAAAGCTGTCTTTTTTTTAGATTTGCAGCTCGGATAGAGAAAAATACTTTCTTTTCAAGGAACGCTACTTTCATACCCATTTCAGTCTGAAATTTTAAAGAAAGTTTTGTGGAGAGGGGGCATTTCGCATCATCAGATGGAATACATTTAAAATTTTTAAAAGTTGTAGTTAGTGACAAATTGTGTCTAAGAAAAAAAGCAAGTAAAAAAGTAATTCAAATTTACATTTGAATACTCACCTTGGTTCTATTTCAGTCGCAAAATATCACCCCTAAGTACGCAAAGTCTCTAAAATGGTTATGAATAATAATTTGCACCAAGGTATTCATCTGATACCTCAAGAACATCATAAAAATATTTTGGAGGTGGTGAGCCTCAAAATTATTACATTTTGCAACCTACACTTTTTATCCTATACAAACTATTAAAATGAGTCTAACTGTATTTCGCCTTCCCTAATTCCTGAAGAAATCAAACAATCTGACTAACACAGCACCTTGAAACTTCCTGTGGATTTTACTTAAACTCATAAAATATCAAGTTTCAAGTAAAACTGAGTATCAGTCCAAATAATGAAACGCGAGAGGAAATTCGTCTGTTGTAGTTATGCTGTTTCTGGTTTAATCCATCCAAATTCTATATTGATGGCAAAAGTGTAAAACCACATATTTTCATTGCGATGCTTCAAAATTTCCGCTTTTGTGTTATTTTTTCAAATAAGCCAACCTTATAGCTTGAAATGGAGAGTTTGCATGCACATTTTCTATTGCTTCATCTGAAATTGCTTAGAGAGCTGATTTTACAGTATTTTTTATAATTTTTTTCTGATGTGGGAAATAGTATACAAATAGATTCAAAAAAGAGAAAATGCACTGCCTAGCGACGTCACCTGGCGGCATTTCCCATTTAAACACATGTATTTTAGCAGATTAGATCATTTTGTCATATCTTCTTCAATAATTGTTCGATTCATGAACCAAGGGTATCCTAGTGTTCAGTTCACTCAGCAGTTTCCACTTAAACACAAAACTCATCAAATTTAAGACACCTGCAAATTCCCTACTTATACACATTATATGCTGCTGCTAATATAGTACAAAAATCAAGGAATTTTTCGAGAAATCATGCAAACTAGTTTTTTAAAGGAAACACGAAGTATGACAGGAAGTCTGCAATGTCTGTAAGGGAGATATGCTGTTTCCCATTTTAGCCATCAATATTCCCTCAGGGATGAATAAAATCCTCAATTGTACAGCTTCTGCATCAATTTATTTTCAAGTTCCTTTCAAATATTTTCTTACATTTTGCAGGTGAAAGAACAGTTGAAAGCCAGTTTGAGCACACTACCAGCACCTTTAAATGACTATGAAATCGTTGTACCAGAGGACGAAGAAAGCGGAGAGACCCCAGCGGAAAATGAAGAAAACGTTGAAGATCAAGCAGACATTGATGCCAAAGCCTTGGCCACCATGCAATTACAAAGTGCGTCCAAACTTACCCTTGTCTTACAAATTGTGTTGAATGCAAAAGTTATAAAATGTGTATCTCCAATTGCCATGTAGCAAGTCTGTCTATACTTCATTTTTTTAAAGGAAACTAAGCAACAGCTTCTCTTTAAAGTTTTTACATATTTCATTATTTTCTATGAAGAACGAATGAAATGTACTTGGTTATTTTCAATTAGCGCATTTAGAGATCCTTTTTTTTTCTTTTTTCACCTAAGCCATCAATATGTGACAGTCTTTGAGAAAAAAGCCTCATTCAAAGTAGAAGAATTCCTTAGGAATTATATAAGTTGTAGGAACACTAAACACAATATCTCCTTGAAATTTTCTGTACATATCTTTAAATGAAGGAAATTTACAAAAAAATTTCAAAGAGAAAGTTATTTGGTTTAGTTGAAGGATAAAACATGAGAGGCGCTTTGCAGCGTTGCAAGCGGAGTTACGTATTTTTGGACTTGAGCAATTGACATGAATAGCACCAATCTCAAATCCTAGATCACAGATGAATTCATCGCAAGAGTAATTAAAGGAATAAAAAATCAGAATCTCTATCGTTCAAGTATTTTTCAAAGTAACAAACCCATCTTAGAGCATGTTTTCTTTTAATATCTGAGAAATTTCAAATACTGAGTCATGGTTATGGGAACTTTTAAAAATCTATGCTATTACAGTTGGAATAATTTTATTTGGGACTGAATGAGCATTGCATTGCTGAATCAGTACTGAGGACAAAACGTAACAAACATTAAAAGCCTTAAACTTCTATTTCTGTTTCTTCTGATTTATCAAAAACGCTACTCATTTTCCTTTCTTCCTCTTTGCAGGAGAGCTAGAGCTAAAAAGTAGATCTCAAGTAATACAAAGGAGTCTTCCAAGACCGCCGGACGTCAATATTGTTCTGAGACCTCAAAATGTTGAACCTCCCCTAACGGACCTACAGAAGGTTAGTATTTCGATTTTTGTAAGACAGTCAGAATCCAAGATCAAATGCTGTGCTACTATATCTAAGTTTTCTGCACTGCACTGCTGTAGGAAAAACACTGCATGAGCCTTCAGATGTCGCCAAATTTTCTCCCATAACTTATGCATTTTCAGAGAAATCTGTAAATATTTTTCCCCAAATTTTTAAGGGAATTTTATTCGCGATCAAATCTAAATTTTCTAAAAATTTCAAGAGAGAATATTCATAATAGACGCATTTAGTGGGACATCACATCTCGATTTAATTTCAATACCTCGAAAGTCGAAATGTGCCCCAACAAACGAACACAACGTTCATCCGAAGACTAAGTATTATGTCTCGAGCTTATTAAATTATCAATTCTTGTGAATGTGGTCTCAAAAGTTTTGGAAAATGACTAGCTCTCATAATTTTACGGTCCCACGGATTAATGTTTTAGTTTTAGGCTAGTTTTAGCATTCTTTCATTGATTTTTGTTTTGGAGGTTATGTTTGTTTGTTGGGGCACATTTCGACTATTGAGGTATCGAACCAACAATATTTCTCTGTGATGTCACCACTTAATGCGTCTATTCTCCGCTAAAATGACCATTTTATCAAATTAAATTTGGCAACTCTCGAATGTTTACACGCTGTTTCTTCCCTAATTAAGCAGTGTAGATATGATACTCTGCGTTGAGCCTCTGAGTAGTCTTAAAATTCCCTCTCCTTTCTCTGTTCCTCATCAATTTTTTTTCATTGTTTACAGGCAGAAGAACTGATAAAACGAGAGATGATTACGATGCTGCACTATGATGCCCTCCAAAACCCTGTTCCATCTGAAAAGAAACAGTCGAATGTTGTGTCCCAAGCGCAGCACCTTGCCTATCTAGAGCAACATCCGTATCAACCAGTTCCTCTAGAGGATATTGAAGAAGTATGGCTGATAATTTAATTTACAGTAAGACCTTGAATTATCGGATCGCGATTTAACGGATCGATCCTCCGGTCCCGTGAAATCCGATAAATCGAGGTCTTACTGTACTTTTCATCTTTTTTCTCTAATTTTCGTGCAAATATCTAATTTTGAACAAATTTAGGGGTCATCAATGACCCTGCATTGTAAATTCTCCTTCCTGTGAGACCCCAAAAAATAGCATTAGTGACCATACTACATATTTGTTCTTTTAAAAATTTTGATTTTGCTAAGATTTCAATATTGTTGTTTTTTTAAAGCAAAAAGAGAGCTGCACCTTGTATCAACATTATTCATCAGTTTAATTCAATTAGTTCAAAACAGGTTTGGTATAATTAATGCTTAAATTAAGATCAAGATCTTATTTGTCTCTCTTTTCAAAAAAAAAAAAAAAAAAAAAAAAAAAGCAATAACAATGAAAAGTCTTTTGATTGGAGAAAAAATGATTTCCTTTTTTTGTGCCTGCTAATACGAGTAAAAACCCTATCTATATTAGATTACATAGAAACTCGTGGACTCATAATGATTTTAAGGCAATGCTAATTAAGGTGATCATGTTGGTATGTAAAGTATGTATTACTCTCATGTTTTTCCAGCCGTCTTTCACCCAGTATATGTTTTTTCCTGTCGTTGCGCCATAAACTTGAATTTAAAAAAAATAATTGATAACCTGTTTTTCACCCCTTAAATTATGTTTTGGCCTAAAAATATCATGAAATATTCTTACAATATAATTATTTTATTTTTTCCCCAAAAAGAAAAAAAATTGTATAGTTGACAGATTTTCAGGAGTCATTATATATGTGTTTTCTGCTCTGACAATAAATTTTTCCTTTTTCAGGCCAAAAAATTACTAACTGAAGAAATGAACGTTGTGAAACAAGGAATGGGACATGGAGATTTATCAATCGATGCATTCTCACAAGTCTGGGAAGAGTGTCTTAGTCAGGTAATAATTATTGCCTGTTGTCCATGATTCAGATCTCTAACAGATCAGAGACCCTTTCGGAGGGGATTCTTTCAGATTGTCAACTAGCCATCAAGGCTAGGGGTGTTCAAACGAATTCTTGCATCTATCGATATCGCCTCTTATTGAAACTGGGAACAGTATTGACAGTGGCGATGATATTGTTGACAGCTGGCCTTATCGGATTTTTGAGAGCTGGCACTCAATGCATTGTTGCCCCGTGCGTTGGTTTATCAGATTGCCTGGCACAGGGGCGCGTGAAATAGATGTACAAATGGCAACAGCTTATTTTCGTCAGCCCCGAAAATTCTGATCGCTATTGGCAAGAGTGCTCTTATCCTGACTTTTTCTTAACGGAACTGCTTTGGTAGCTTACCAACAACCGATAGAACAGCCCTAATAAAGGCATGTACCAATCGCTAAATCTAAAAACTGAGAATCTTCATTGCATTTTTTACTCTACTTTTTCCAAGAAAGCCTTTCCTGCAAGTTTGTGTCATTTTTTAAGGATAAATGAAGAAAATTTCAAAAGAAACTGTCTGTTGGTTTTCCTTTAAAAAAATTAAACTTGTGCAAAGACTTAAAACCTTGCAGTCAGAGGTACGCCGTTTTGTACTTAAAACCATGGATATGCTGTGAGTTCCCAAAAATGCAAGATTGAGTTATAGAACTATAGCCTAGAAGAGTGCCCTACGGAGGCAAAAACTAGGCAATGTCTGATGTAGTTAGATTGATTCATTTAAATCCATCCATTTATTCTTAATTAGACCTAAGAGAAGTTGAGTTTAGCGATTCTAACTTTCAAAACAAATACCAACTTACCCAGTCACAAAGTTTTTTTAATAACTGATCACAACAATTTTTTTTTCTAATTTTAGGTCTTGTATCTGCCGAATCAAGGGCGGTACACGAGAGCAAATTTAGCAAGTAAGAAAGACAGGTTAGAATCCCTTGAGAAGCGGCTAGAACAGAATCGGAATCACATGACAAAAGAAGCTAGGCGGGCGTCAAAAATGGAGAAAAAGCTTAAAATTCTACTTGGAGGATATCAGGTAAGTTATCAAAATTTGTCACAACCAAAAAAGACCTTTGAAAGTTATTATTTCTGATTGAAAATACTTCTTTATTGGAGAAAATGTTAAATAAAACGATCAATTTGATGTTCAAGACGTCATAAAATGGAAGCACACAACTTTTAAAATTGTTTTACAAATATTTCAGATGACATTACTTTCACCAACTCCACGTTATAATAAACGCATAAATGCTATTACATTTTATTAGAGATCACTATTTAATGAGAAAATTGAATTTTAAAATAGTTTCTCAAAATGTACATCCAAACTTTCAGAAGTCAGTAATCTATTTTTCATTGTCGCTCTCTCTGAGATTTACTTTTTTTAAATGAAACTTTCAGGGAAATTAGAGGATCTGTTTAATGGGTTCAAGGATTTCTTCACAATTTCTTTCCAAATAATTAACTCTTATGACACTATAAAGTGTCCCAATGTATTGTTATTGACAAAAAAAAAAACGCCCCTGTTTTGCGAATTATTTTTTTAACTTGTACACCGTCCCAGAAAGGATAAATGTATAACTCAGCGTAATTTTTTCAGACAAGAGCCTCAGCTTTAATGAAGCAAATCCACGACTTGAACGAAGAAGCTGAGCGAGCCCGCATTGAATTATCAACTTTCAAGTTCCTGCTCAAGCAAGAAGCTGCAGCAATCCCACGTAGATTAGAGGTAAGTGTTTTCTGCATTATAAATAGATTTAAAGCTAAGTCTTATGGCGCAGTAGTATCATTTACTTTTGATTCTCAGAATATTTTATTTCAAAGATAGGATGGCAGGATTTGTTGAAACAGTTTGATGGCCAAATTGCGAAACCTCGTATCTGCGTTCGCTACGTTGCTTCCTGTCATACCATCTTTTTTCCCTAGAAAACTAGTCATCGTAATTTCACGTAAACTTTCCTGAATTTGCCCTGCTGTAAGCAAAATATTTTGTGTAAAAGTCTAGCTTTGAAGTTTGTTTGTTTCTCTTCAAAAAAATACAGTAGGAGCAGACATTTTGGAACACTGCAATGGAGGTACATGATTTTGCAATTTGGTCATGGAGTGACATTTCAACTAATTTTTTTTAAATCCTTCATTGAAGAAATTTTTCTCAGAAAGGTTTACTTCATTTTTCTCCAAGAGCAACCTGTTGTTCTTGATAGAATGAAATAAATTAATCAATTTTAAAAAATCTTTACTCCCACAGTAAGGCAAAAATTTATATTCATTCTGTTAACTTATTTACTTAAAATTTAGTGGCATATGCGGACGTCCATAGAATTAGCAAACAGTATGGTGAAAATCAGGCCAAAATCACAAACTTTGAATACCTGTACATAATCCTAATACTATTTGAGCCATGATCAAAATTCTAGTCAATGTTTGTGACACACTTTAACTGGAAACAGTAGCAAACTGCCATAGCTGCAGTAGCTTTCAGTTCGCTTATTTAATACCATCATTATCATGGAAATTAGAGATCGAAACAATTTTAGGTCTGTTCAAACTAAACTGTGTCAAGAGAGTAAAGACCGATTTTGCTAAGTAGTTGGTGGGTATGATCTGTCCTGCTGCTCATTTTCATGCTGATAAATGATGCACACCATCTTTTAGAAAAGTACAGAAAAAATGAAACTGAGGAATAGAATCTCCATCCCTTTCAGTTCTGGTGCAGCGCTGTGAGTGCTGTGACGATGAGTCTGTGAGCGAATGGATGGAATATTCCATGGAAAAAAAGGGAAAGGGTTTCAAGGCAAAATGCCTTTTCTAAAATTAATTTTCGTAAGTATCGGTTTGTGTTGCTTCATTTATTGAAGTATTTGTTCTCTTTTTCAGTCTCTGACAGAGGATGTAAATCGACAGCAGCAAAGAGAAAAATCTCTTCAGGCTAAGTATGGAGAGCTGCAGGCAATCATCGAGGACATCAAACAGAAACAAAAAGCCTAAACTTCACAACCGACGAATTCTTATTCAAATGTAATATTGTAGAGCACGACCTGTAAAAATTATTGTAAATATGTACAATAGCCTTCCAAAGAATCATTTGCATTTCATCAATAAATCATAAGTTTGTTTCTAGCAAATTATGTTTTGCTTTTAGTCTCTAGATTTTTCCTAGCCCTTTTTCCTTCTCCTCTATAGAGTTGTTCAGAATGTTCAGAAAAGAATGAACGTGAAAAATATTCAAGTCCATACTTTTATGAGGACTTAGATTTCAATTGGCAGAGCTGAAAATTTTCCATCATTTGCACTTCATTTTTTAAAATAGAAAACTGACCCATGCTGTCGAATTAAAGATGCAAACCACGTGAACATTCAAATGTTGCCAAACATATATTGATGAAGCATTTATTTTAGAGGAAAACTATGCATAATCTTCCTTGACTTTATTTAATTTTTAGATTGAAGTGCTAACAAAAATATCTCTAAAATCGGATGAAAAATTTCAAAATTTTCCCATTAACTTCGGCTTTTATCTAGGGAAAGACAACTGTCAATAAGCAAGAGAAATGCAGCTTGCTGCTATTTGATTATGTTTTCTGCGACTCGCCCCCCCCCCCCTTCCATACACGCCGAGGAAAAGATTAACATTAATTATTTCTTCTCAAGCAGTTATTAGTGTGTAATGCAGGTATCAAATATGAACACTGATACTTTTTCACCTATTTCATCCACTTATGACTTGACTGATAATTTAATTTCCTCGATCATTTGAAAAAGCCACCTTTAATTGGTTAGGGTGTTTAGAATTTGGGCAATTTTACATCAAATTTAAAATCAGCGACTTAAAAAACGTACGATAATGTTCTTCCATGACCTTTCAGCCATTAACTAACTTATTTCTTCTTTCGAGTTCTGGACCATAGGTTAGGTGCCCCATAGTGGTAGTTTGCCTCCTTTCTAGCAACTATTTTAACTCTTCAGAGCTCAAATTGAGTACCTTATGAATTGAAGGAATTCTGAGTCTGGGACCCTGTGACTTACCAATCTCATTGAGAACGCCATAAAATTGCGCCTTCACTGAAAATACACTTCGACTGTGAGCAACTATTTTAACTTCCCAGAGATCAATTTGCATACCCGATGAATTGAAGGAATTTTGAGTCTGGGACTCTGCGACTTACTAGTCTCATGGGGGACGCTACAAAATGCGCCTTCGCCGAAAGTATGCTTCGACTGTAAGCAACTATTTTAACTTCCCGGAGATCAAATTGCATAGCCGGTGAACTGAAGGAGTTTTGAGTGCAGGGATTTGTAACTGAGCAATCTCGTTGAAGCGCCGCGCCGCAAAATTGCGCCTTCAATGACAACTTGCCTCCACCATGAGCAACTATTTTAAATTCCGGAAATCAAATTGCGTATTCGCTATTCACGATGAAAAAAGCCACGGTCATTTCATGCTCCAGCAGAAAATATTCACGTAAAGTTAAAGCTCTATCAGACACCCGAAAAAATCGTTCATTCACCTCGTTAGACGCTACCGACCGGATAAAATTGGCATGGGGAAATTAAAAGGATTCTGAAGTATAACCGGAAAAACTTCGGTATCAAAGAGACATTATGTAAAGTCTTCTCGTCCATGATACAGGAGTATTCCTAACTATTTTTGCTGCTGACTCTGAAAACGACCTTGGCTTTTTCATGGCGGATAGATTCTCTTTGCAGGAATGGACGTTATTACCTCGAACGAAGAGGATCTGGTCACATTGAGGAGAATGAAGAACATCGATGGCTAAAGTGCGAAAAAACGTAAGTATCCTCCGTTTGCGACGCTGCAGACTTCCTGTCATACTTTCCCTGGTAAAAATTGGCAGTACCTAGAATCTGTGTTTCAAAATACCTTAGACCTACAGCCGGCTTTAAGATTTCCAATAGCTTCTATAGCCGGCAGCACAATTTCTTATAGCCTTTTCTAGCCGATGGCGATTAAGCAACAGCCTGGCGATAAAGTGTATGCTAAACTTCACTAATTACGGATGCTAGGACTTGTAGTGAGTTTTTGGACTAACGCTCTCTTTTTGGGTCTTGGTATCTTGATTTATTTTGCGAGGAAAGCTCCGTACTTTCGAAAGATGCGTTAGTCCAGGCGCCTGGTAAATCTACCTGGAATTTTGGGTACAAAGCGATTTTTTTGGCTTACTTTATGTTTTTTGGGTCGCTAAATCCAAATCTGAAGTTTCCTACCGCGTATCTGGTGAGCATTTTCCGCCATTTTGAAAAAATGGCCTAAAAAGGCCTTTTTTTGCGTTTTTTTTACATAGCGGCTACGCATGAGAAAAAGTCCCGGATTCAGTTAACGTTTTGAATAGCTGACATAATTTGGAAGAAAATGGTATATAAATATGCAAGGTTTGCTCAAAACTTGAGGAACCTCGGATCTCGGAACTTTGGAACGCTTCAGAACTTGGCTGACCGCGGCGAGCCGGATCGAGCGTTGACGGTTGCGCAGCGAAAACGTGAATGGGCGCGATGTTCAAGATGCTATATCTTCCTCAATTTTTTAGCAAACATAGCATAAGTTTATACCAATTTCTTCCAAATTATGTCAGCTATTCAAAACATTAACTAAATCCGGGACTTTTTCTCATGCGTAACCGCTATATTAAAAAAAAAAACGCAAAAAAAGAACTTTTTAGGCCATTTTTTCAAAATGGCGGAAAATGCTCACCAGATACGCGGTAGGAAACTTCAGATTTGGATTTAGCGACCCAAAAAACATTAAGTAAGCCAAAAACATCGCTGTGTACCCGAAATTCCAGGAAGCCTCATTTTTAGCTACCAGGCGGCTGGGCTTTAAAGGCATCGAAAAATTTAACATTTTTTTCTGCGTTTGAGGAACTGAAATTTTAGTACATGTACTGAAGAAGGGGTGCAAAAGTGCTGAATATGTGCCGGCCAGTTTTGGTTGACGCCTATCTATGCGACGTACACGCAAGTATCCTGATTTGGAAAGTCGGCAGTTTCGAAAACGCCTTCAAATGTGGCGTGATACCTCACGCGTTCCGGAGAGTACGTATAGTTGTATCATTGCGCCTTAGCAATGCGATTTAAGATTGATATTAAATCAGCCTCCACGCTGCGGCCTTGTCCGTGTTCCTTTACCACTGTTGCAGTTTTGACCGTAAAGTTTAAGTGTGCTCAAGGTAGGCTTGTATTTAGTGAATAGATAATATTTTAGAAGGATTAAAAATAAACAAGCGCAGGAAGAAACATAACAGAATAATATGGACTGAATTTAACAATCAAAAAAATAGTCCAGGCGCCTCGTAAGTCTACCTGGAATTTTGGGTACACATCAGCGAAGTTTTGGCTTACTTTATGTTTTTTGGGTCGCTAAATCCAAATCTGAAGTTTCCTACCGCGTATCTGGTGAGCATTTTCCGCCATTTTGAAAAAATGGCCTAAAAAGTTCTTTTTTTGCGTTTTTTTATATGGCGGCTACGCATGAGAAAAAGTCCCGGATTCAGTTAACGTTTTGAATAGCTGACATAATTTGGAAGAAAATGGTATAAAATTTTGCTAGGTTTGCTAAAAAATTGAGGAAGATATAGCATCTTGAACATCGCGCCCATTCACGTTTTCGCGGCGCAACCGTCAACGGGCGATCCGGCTCGCCGCGGTCAGCCAAGTTCTGAAGCGTTCCAAAGTTCCGAGATCCGAGGTTCCTCAATTTTTGAGCAAACCTAACATATTTTATACCATTTTCTTCCAAATTATGTCGGCTATTCAAAACGTTAACTGAATCCGGGACTTTTTCTCATGCGTAGCCGCTATATAAAAAAAAACCGCAAAAAAGGCCTTTTTAGGCTATTTTTTCAAAATGGCGGGAAATGGTCACCAAATACGCGGTAGGAAACTTCAGATTCCGTTTAAGCGACCCAAAAAACATAAAGTAAGCCAAAAAATCGTTGTGTACCCGAAATTCTAGGTAGCCTCATTATTAGCTCCCAGGCCCTGGACTACCTGCTGTTCCTAATAAGTTGGAGCTCCTTCAATTTCGTATGATACCGTGCAACACCTCTGTGGTGAAATAGTTGCTTGAGGTGCCGTGGCACGCTGCGGCGTGGCCGGCGCATTGGCCCCTGCAAACCTAAGTGGATACGTCAATCATCGCGCAATGCGTGAAGTATCCCTGTTAGGTTTGTAGGCGCTAGTGCGCCGACGCTCCGCTTTGTGTTAGGCTCTAATATTTAATCTCGTGGAGTCAGCGTTTTTCAAATCATGACTTTGAAATGTTTGCACACTCTGTATGGATTATTCTTATTGTAATTGATGAAAAAAAAATATGTCGTAAAGGATACAATTAATTTGGGTTTTGAAAATATTGAGGTGATTAAGCCAAATTAGAATTATATTTATTTCTATTTCCACAAATTTATATTCATTGGCTTTTTTTCATATAATTATACATGCAACTTTTAAGTCCCTTATCTTTTTATGTAGAAGGACTTACATTTCTAATAGAAATACACAAGATCTACGAAAAATATATTCAACCAGAATTAATCTTTTAGTAACAAATGTAGCTTTTAATGTAGCAAGAATAGTTCTTTGTGCTCTACCCTTTATATCAAGATTCTTTTCAAAAGAAATTATTATAGAAATGATTATAATTACCCCATTGAACAAGGTTATCACTTTAACTTTTATCATCTTGATAATAGTAACAGCAAGATATTCATTAAAAAAAAAAAAAAAAAAAAAAAAAAAAAAAAAAAAAAAAAATCCTACACAATTTCTCATAGCATTTTATAGCCGATGGCAACAGCCAGGCGATAAAGTGTAAAGCCAATTTGTGTGGTATTTCATCGCGTCATTTTTTATCGCTTCGTGTACCCAGCCTGGCCGTGTGATTTTTTCCACTTTCTACAGCCAGCTATATGATTTTCTATTGCCTTCTTCAGTCGGCTGTAAGAACTCCTATGGTATTTTGAAACGGAGCTTCTATCGCCAATTTTTACCAGGGTTATTTTCTGCCTGGAAAACTAGTCAACAAAACTTTTTGAAAATTACCTTAATTTTTCTCATCTACTAGCCTAGAATATTCTGTATAAATTTAAAGCTGTAAGTTGGCTTTGTTCCTTTTCGATACGTGGTTTTGCATTTTGGCCATTGACATTATATACCCCCGGCTTCCCTCGGTTGCTCCAGAAGGTTGATGCGCGCTTTTACTATTTTGGCAGGAATGATGTCAAACAAGGTTGTTCAAATTTTAGCAATTTAAAATCTATATTTATATATATTTCACACTGAACTCCGCTCTGATTTTAATCAATCAATTTCATTTGTACGCTTTTGATTGATAGGTTCTATGAAAAAATTTATTTTGCCCAAAATCTCTAAGCTCTCTCTCTTTGGTACCCAATAATGATTGCGTAACCGTTTCATTCACTAGTTGAAGTTGGCAACATTGCAATACTCGTAGAATAGTCAAATTAATTATGCGTGCATTAACAATTCACCACACTCTGCATGTCACGCGTCGGAAACTATTGCTAGTTTTTTGACGCTAGCCTTTTGTTGCCACCACAATCTTTAACAGTCTTTTTATTTTTTTGAAGTAAGAAAAGGAGCATACTCAGAAAAATGGATATCTGTAGAAAAATGAAGTGGTTTCAAGGAGAAAAATTGAAAATTAAAGAGAAGTAATTTCGATCAATGATTGATGTATGATTCTAGCGTATTGCTTAGGTACGTCCGTACTGTGATGACATGCAAAACGACGAACAGAAATTCTCAATTGTTGCCGATTTTAACGGCAATATTGATGTTTTAACCGATTTTCAACGTCTCATGCTAGTCGGTTCAACAAGTTATTATCGATGGTCAAAGTGGGAAACCACGTGTCTCCATTTGCGGCATCGCAGACTTTCGGTCTCACTTCTTCTCCTTGAAAATTTAGTCAACGCAATTTTTTGAAAACTTCCTTGAATCCTCTATGTTAACAGAATATTCTGCATAAATTTCAAAATATAAAATATGTATAAGTTTGCTTGTTCCTCTCCGAAAAAATAAAATAGGAGCAGAAATTTTGAAAAGCCGCAATGAAGATACATGGTTTTCCACTTTGGCCATTGATATTTTCAGCTCAAAAATTCCATTACTCCTCTCTGGTGGAACTTAGAATTTTCATAAGGGGGGGGGGGAGGGGATCAAGAGGGACAGACCATATCGATGTGAAACTGGAGAAATTTTTAACTCTGTTTGCCGCCCTGCAGACCTCTTTTTTAGGTACTTTATTTTCTGCGGGGAAAAGTACCTACTGCACGATTTTTTTAGGAAATTTCGGTGATTTTTCTTCTCTTTATGAAGTATTGAAACCCTGATGTTGATCCGGTCTCCTTTTTCAAAATAGAATAGGAGTGGAAATTGGACGTATTCCTACCGAACGGAACTATTTTTTTTTTTTTTTTTTTTTTTTTTTTTTTTTCTTCAGGGACCGAACGGAACTATGTTCATTAAGATATGAGCCCTGATACCCATAAGCATATGTGCATAACAGGGCTCAGGTCATGATGCACATAGTTCCGTTTCATAGAAGCAAGTACGTCCAATTTCGAAGCAGCGCAACCGGGATACGCATTTTTGCAGTTTTACCGTCGGTATGGGGGAATATTCTGCCGTGCTAAGGAAAAACGCCGTATGAAACTTCAAGCGTTGCCAAATTTCCTTTGGTAAATCGCGAATTTTTGGGAACATTTTTAAATATTTCTCTTCCAATTTTTCAGATAATTCTGTTCGCAATTTTACCTAAATTTCCTGAAATATTTAAGGAAAAATATTCATAACTTTTCTCAAAAATACATGATTGATTTTAGGAAATCTGAATCTGGCTGCTCTCGAATGCTCATACGGCGTTTTTCCGTAACACGGCAGTGTTCTTCGGGCATTACAGGCTCTTGGAAGGAAAATTTCTGAATTATATTTCAAAACTGTAGGAAAAGCGGACTCATTGAGAGCTTACTACACTGCCGCGTGCTAAGGGAAAACGCCGTATGAGCCATTAGACGTTGCCAAGTTTCCTCCGATAAAAACCGAAATTACGAGGAAAATTGCGAATATTATTTTATAAAATTTTCAGACAATTGTGTACGCAAAAGTGAGCTAAAATGTGTGAGCTAATTTGTGTGAGCTAAAATGTCTGAAAATTTCGAGGAAAGTTAAGCATGAATGTTGTCGAAAATACATGTTTTATCAAGGAAAATTTTGCAACTCTCGAATGTTCATACGGCGTTCTTCCCCCAGGTAGCAGTCATCGCGATAAATAGCGATTTTATCGGTTGATTATCGCGATTATATCGATGGCAATTTATCGCAATATTATCGAATAAAAAATTTCGATGTATGGCGATTAAATCGTTATGCATCGCAAATTTTTGTTCAATAAAATCGCGATCAATTTTTGTCGATAAAATCGAGATTAAATCGCCATACATCGCGATTTTTGTTGCGATAATATCGCGATAGATTGTCGGGCGGTAAAATCGCGATTTTATTGCAACAAGTTCGAGGATAATCGCTCAGATGTTGATGATCTTGGCGATTTTCGCCGAAAAAATCGCAACAAATCGCGATTTTTCCGTTGGAAAATGCTTCTTAGACCTTAGCACGGCAGTATAATATACCGATGGCCTCAAACAATCATCGAAATCGGCCCTGTGGACCTCCGAGAATAAGAGTGGAAATCTTGAAACACCGCAATAGAGATACGTGGTTTCCGACTTCAGCCATCGATATGCGATTTTCCAGCTTCAATTTGTGACTATTAGACAACAATGCGCAAAGATCTCGTCCAACTCGTGGCCTACCGTAAAGCGCGCACTCCTCTAATTTTGTTATCACCAGTTCGTGCTCTCAATATGTGTGAACATTGGTATATCTTCCCCCCTCTCTATAATATTTGATAGGTGCTAAAGCTCTCTTTTATCTTTTTAACTCTTTCCTCTCGCTATTTTGACTGTTACTCTCGTTTAGTCATTCATTAAGGCACATGCTGTGGTTGATGTGGTTGCTGTGGCTGTGGTTGTGGTCATGTGTGGTGATTGTGGTTATATTTGATAATAACGGTTCAATAATGTGCTTTCCTCGGTTGAAAAGACAACATTAATCCCTGAACGACATTAAACTCCTCCTCTGATAGCGCGTCAAAAGCAACTGACAATCAGGAAATTTTGAAGATTCCTTTTCCGCTGAAAAATGAGTGGCAAATTTAAATCATTACTCCAAAAAGGGACATTGAAATCCCTGGATACAAATTACTTTGCATCGATTGGTGGTAAGCTGAATCGAGCACTTTTATTTTAAATTTTTCTGTATAATTTGCATCACACGCAAAAAAAAAGTTGGTGCTGACTACACAACACTGTTCCAGGGCTCACGCACTTTTTTTATACTTTTATTCAGACTGTTTTTTTAGATCGTTTCCGATGTATCAAAAGGTGAAATTGTATCGATATCGATTGGTTCAACATGTAAACATAGCCTCAAAAGTCAATCGAGTAATCTGAGGAAACGGGGTTTTTCTGATAGTTTTTTTATTCTTATGAGTACTAAATGGCATCGCAAGGTGAAATAGTTGGGAATTTTCTCATTTTCAGCTTTCCCGACTGAAATCCTGAAAATTTTGTTTGAGGTTATGTTCTATTGTTTTGAACCAAACGATACATCGAACCACTATCGTAAACGATCTATTGTGAGAACAGAACTTCGGTTGTGGGTACTTGGTAATCATAACAGAAACTTCTATGACTGCCTAAGAGCACGGGGCAGTGAAAATATGGAAATAAAATTGCTATTTAATTCAATGTGCTTATCCTATCTTTGGGTGTGTGGTGTGTTGCTAACGTAGTCCTTGGAACACCACTACAAATAAGACAAACTGAAACAAACACAATATGGTAATAGAGCAAGGGAACGGAAGTGCGTTGATGACGGTGCAGAGATACAACTATTCGTGCTTGATGGATGTCCGTGTTGCGTCTTCGAAATTGAAGGCGCTATGGCGCGAGGCGTTAACTCTCATGATGTTCTGCTCCATATCGACGGTGTAAGTCGGCAATCACATATCGACGATGTAAGTCGGAAATCACATAACTCGATTTTTGGCGGTTTTGAGTTAGTTGCAGAAATGAAGTGTAGTAGATGCCCTTTACCTGCTGTCAAAATATTTCAGTCGAAAAAAATCGGGAAGTCACCTAAAAACGTAGAACTCAAAACACGCGTTAATTCCAATAACACATAACATAACTCGTGCCGTCGCGCCGCATTTTCACACAACGCGCGCTCTCCCGGGAAGAATCGTGAACAGTTTAGGTGGGAAAATTAAAAGTTAGTACGTCACGGAATCTTCAAACAACAAAAACATTGTTATTGTTTTAACATCAAACATCTAATTCTACGGATAACTGAGTAATCGTCCGCTTATTTTTATCTTCATTTCATTTTAATTCGTAATTCGACGGCGTAAGTCCGCAATCACATAATTTATCTCGTTCACGGTGTCTGAAAATTTAAAGGAGAACCTCGACACATTTGACATCATTTCTTGCAGTTAATACAGACTTCTCTTCGCATAGAGAAGAAAACTCACGGCAGTTTTAAAGAATTGCCGTTGAGTAGTTCTCCGTTTAAAAAATGAAGTATGACAGGAAGTCTGCCTCTGCGACTTCGTAAACCGAGTTATGTGATTGCCGACTTAGGTACGCCGCGCCGTCGAATTGTTTTCCGGTGTCATTCTAAAGATTCGCTACCAATTAAAGTTTGTTGAAAGGAACCTTAGGTTACTTTTGAGGTTAAGTGAGAGGAGTCTTAATTCGGTCTAATTAATTAGTCGGTCGGTTCAGTAAACATCGGCAAAGAATAGGTTTGAATCAGTAATTCGCCAACCACGTATCCCGGATTTCAGTGTTGGACCTCAGTTCCACAAACACATAACTCGGTTTCTCGGTCATTTCTTCAGACAGACGAGAATATTATTCAAAATAATGATAGACTCTCATAAATCATCTTATCCTTGCTGTCTCTAAGAATTACTTCCCCTCTACCTTCAAAGATGAGGAATGTAAAGAGTTTTTTCCTTCTCCTGAAAAATCGCGTTTTCCGAGTTATGTGATTGCCGACTTACACCGTCGATATATTGCAATATAAGTTTCAGAAAATGGGGCCCCTTCAAATAGGAGCTAGGCAACATACACAACACTCAGTTGAATAGCAATATTTACATTAAGTAATACCTTACGTATTGCAATCTGTGCTACTTGAGGCCCCTTTGATGGTCACATCTTCATGGCTGAACTCGAAAAATGCGTTTGACGAAAAGTGAAAAATTCGTTTTTCAGTTTGCGACGAAAAGTCTCCGATCATGTTTTATTCTTTGAGTGAATATCAACCAACATACTTATAATCATGTATTCTAAGTAAATCATAGAAAACTTCAAGGAACCATTTTGGTTAGTACCTAATCCTTGCAGAGAATAAAACATATAATCGGAGGTTTTTAAAACGCTTAAATTGAGATACATCTTTTTCGCATTTAGCCATCGATACATGACGAGCAGAAATTCAAAACCTGGCGAGCGTCATCAGGTTATTGCTAAAATATGCAGATCCTAAATGAACCGTCTTCATGAGGAAATTTTCTCTAAATTTGGTCCATTAGAAACTTAGAACATTAGGTATAGCAACACCTGATAACACTTACAAGATTTTGAATTTCTACTCTGAATATAAAAAAAAAAATTCACACTTCTACAGCTTCGTGTTGCTCTCACCTGAAAATTTCAGTTTCGCAAGGTTCAATAAAAAGATTCTCAGGTTTTGACGTTACTTATTTATGTTTTAGTACAGCTTCGTGTTGCTCTCACCTGAAAATTTCAGTTTCGCACGGTTCAATAAAAAGATTCTCAGGTTTTGACGTTACTTATTTATGTTTTTCATGTGTACAGCTAGAGACTAGAAAGCGCAACTCGAAAAGGAATGGTGAAAAAACTTTTGAAAAGCTCATTTCCACACCACCTTAGGAGAGTCCGATCAGGAAAATGATACGGTACTGCTCCTGGAGGTAGAGCCTTCGGCGCGCTTTTTTTAACGTGGTGTCGCCATGAGCCCTAATCCACGGAGGAGAGGGAGTGGGGGGGGGACAAAATAGCACACTTACCAACGCTGACGCAGCTCCAGCTTCCTCTGCTCCATGCCGTTTTTGATTCTGCTAAAAAGCAGCTCTGCTCGTGAGACGGAAGTAGTGCCCACTAAAACTAATTAACGCTTATAACACTTATCTAGCAATGAGGCGAAATAAAACGGTATCTTACCTTCGGTTGCCGGAACAGTAGTAGCAGCAGCAGCAGCAGCACCTGAAACAGAAAGGAAAAAAAAAAAAAAAAAAAAAAAAAAAAAAAAA